GACTCTGTGGATGAGGAGGGTGGACAACTCCGGGGACAAGGGAGGAGGCCGGGGAGGGACCAGCTCCAAGCGATTCTGCAAGAGCTCCCAGGGCCTCTTCTGCAAGACAAGCAGCCCCTGCCCCAAAGCAGGCCCAGCGCCCGCCCTGTCCTGAGCGTAGGAGGGTCCAGATGGGAAGTCCCAAGTTAGTACAGCCTTGAGCCAGGCCTGCTGCCTGCCCCAGTTTCCCTGTGCTCCAAGGCGGGGTTATCTAGCCTCCTAGGAACCAGGTGGGCGACAAACGCCATGGGAGGGGAAAGACTGCAGGCACCTCCCCTGCGGCCGTCTCCTCATCCCCCAGCAGCGGTTTGGACAAGTGGCCTCTGACCCCCTCCGGCCCTGAGATGTTTGCGCAGAGACAGGTGCCGAGATTGCTGGGAATCCTGACGCCCTCACAGGCGGCTCCTGAAGTGCTCAGCCCTCTCCGTCCTGTCTCTCGGCCCCTGGGTTCTCAGGACCTCTTCCCCCTCTCTCTGTCCCAGCACTGGCACACACTCCGTGACATATTCTCTCATCGAATCTCAAGGGTACAGCTGGCCTTCCTAGCTGGATGGCAAGTTCAAGGGTGGCTCGTGCCCTTGGTTCCCCCGCAGTGGCTTGCACAAGGCTGGTGGCGTCAGAAGGGCGGGGGAGAGAGAGGGATGAGAGCCTCTGCTCTGTGGGGGGCCTGGCCTCCCTGCCTCATCCTCCACCACCAGCTGCCCACTTGCTGAGCTGCAGGCTGAGTGTCCACCACTGGTGTGGCTGCTTGGGAAGGACGGCCTCCTAGGAGCACGGGGGCCTGAGGGCTGAGGCCGGGGGGCTGCTGCCACCCCGGATCCTGCCCCACTGGGGCTGGAAGCACGAACTCCTGCATGGCGCTGGCAGGCTTCCCCTTGAGGTTTAGAAGGCCTCCCAGTCTCTTGCCTGATGTCTGTCGTTAGGGATGGTTAGTCCTGTGCCTGATCCCTCAAGGGTGCTTTCAAAACAGCTCTGCTCGCACCACGGCCCTGTGTCTGTAGAGAGCCCAGTAGGATGTCTCTGCCAAGAAAGGCAGCCCAGGATGTAGAGGAAACAAGCCAGAGAGGGAGTGGGCTTTGACTCTGCCGCCTTTTTCTCTTTAATTATGGAGCACCTACTATGTGCCAGTCACTGTGTGAGGTGCTTCGGTCCCTGGCAGGTCTCAATCTAAGAAAAGCTCTGAAAATAAAATTTAAAAATGTGTATATTCGGAGAGCGAGCCTCACAAAGTTGTGTGATGAGCAGCACAGGTCTCATGGTCCCCGCCTCTCAGATGAGTTGCACTGCCAGAAGCCAGTCCATCCTTGCTGTTTCAAGGGACCTAGCATATATGGCATACTGTTCTTAATATGTTTGCTCACCTTCTTGGCGCTATGTGTTTTAACCAAGGTCACCTCTCCGAGAAAGGTTGTTTCCCCAAGTAGGGATTTTCCCCTGAAGTTAGGGAGGGAATAAAACCTCTCAACTAAGTGCCAGGCGGGTAATTAATCACTTTCACTACGAACA